GAATGGTAGTTAATTAAAGTTAACATATCTAGCTAATAATATATAAGTAACTTGTGCTTAGATATAGATCTATCATCTAAATTTATATGTATGCATTGTACATATGATTAAATTGTGAAACCTTTTCTTTACTAGCTTTACCTTTTATTAAGAAAATAATCCTCACAATTCAAGGCTCATATTATTTTAAGTAATGCAGATAACAATCATAACATAATAATTAAAATAACAATAAAATTGAAATAGTTTATCAATTTGTGGTACAGTAGAAGAATCACTATCAATCAAATCTGTAATAAAATGGCTGCCTTTCAGGGCTCTAGTTCTTCTATTCAAGCTGTTGAGCAAAGTAAAAGGAATTTTAATGAATCAGAAGAGATAAAGACTAGAAGAAGCTGAAAAAAATTGAGCCAAAGAGGAGAGCCAATCAACATATTAGTGATTGGTCCAACTGGGTCTGGTAAATCAACACTCATCAATGCTTTACTGGGAGGCACTGTAGCACCGGTGGGTGCAGGAGCAGCATCTGTACAGTCTGAAGTTGACATGCATCAAGGAAAACATGATGAAATAACGATAAAGGTTCATGATACTACAGGCTTCAGTGACAGCAAAATTGTACATAGCATCTAGGTCTAACAATAAAAATTGAGTACAACAATACTTTTATCTATGAAGTCTGGTAGAGTCACCTATTGCAGCCAAATTTATAAGTTAATATAGAAGGACAACTACTCATACTATGACAGTGCAGTTGTACGGTAACCACTGGTTACTGCTATACAACATCATCCTTCTTATACATGTAGTTGTAAATTAATGTCTTTATTTCAGAGTCTTTCGAAAGTGATAAAGCAGTGTGGCCTTCATTTGATTTAATAGTTGGGTCAGCTTCCCATTCTAATAATAACTTAACTACTTCATAATGTCCATTAGAACTGGCAGCCATCAAAGCAGTATGACCTACTCTGTCTTGAATGTTAGGATCAACTTGTTCCTTCAGCAACAGCTCGCCTATTTGAATGTGACCATTTTCACAAGCCAACATAAAAGCATTCCAACCATCTTCCTCTTGAATATTAGGGTCAACTTGTTCCTTTAGCAATAGTTTAGCTATTTGAATGTGGCCATTTTGACAAGCCAACATTAAAGCATTCCAACCATCTTCCTCTTGAATATTAGGATCAACTTGTTCCTTCAGCAACAGTTCAGCTATTTGAATGTGACCATTTTGACAAGCCAACATAAAAGAACTCCAAACATTATTTTTAGAAACATTACGATCCTTCAGCAACAATTTCACCATTTGAATGTGATTATATTGACAAGCCAACATAAAAGCATTCCAACCGTGTTTGTTTTGAAGATTAGGATCAACTTGTTCCTTCAGCAACAGTTCAACTATTTGAGTATGACCATTTTGACAAGCCATCATAAATGCATTCCAACCATCTTCTCGTTGATATTTATAATCAACTCCTTTACTAATCATTAGCTCAACAACCTCATAATTCCCATCATAGCTACTAATCATTAAAGCATTTGATCCATCTGATGTCTTCAGGTGAGGATTAGCATTAGCTTGTAGTAACATGTGAATGATTGAAATCTGATTATGCATACTGGCCATCATTAGTGCAGTCCATCCTTTATTGTCCTGAATGTTAACATTAGCTCCAGCAGACAGTAAACTGTGTACAATGTCCTCATGTCCTCTTTCACAAGTTAACATTAGTGCTGTCTTGCCTTCTTCATTAGTATGATCAATATTAACAGTTTCTAGTTGAAGAAGAAACTCTACTGCTTCATTATTACCAGCTGTGACTGCCTCGAGGAGAGCTAGTTCAAAGGTGAAGTTCATATTCTCGTCTTCTTGAAGGACAGGATGATCATTAACGTATAAACTAAATATACCAATGAGACGCATAAACTGTAATTTTCCCTTAGTAGATCTATATTCTATCAGACTATCAGCAGTAAAGTCAAGAATATGTAACTTGATGACAACAGATCCTGGTTCAATAGTGATGCATTTCATTATTGACTGTCTAAGTTCTTTTGGTAGTAATCTTCCAATGAGAATATATAGTCCATTAATTTTAACATCATTCCAAGGATTTTGTAGTTCAATACAGATCAATGGCATATTCTCTAACTGTCGTCTATAAGGTCCATACACTTTACGTAGCTTTTGTTTGAGTTCAGTAATTGGTCTTGATGAACGAAATGCATTAGCATTTAATGAATAAACCTTCAGCTCATCAAGTAGATCTTTTTCATCACTTATAAACTCATTACACATAGCAACTATCAGACTACAGTCAATGAAATCATAATTATGGTAGATCTTTTTGAAGATATCATCTAAATCACTACCTGCTGTACCATGCTCCCAGTGAAGGTAACTCTCAATCCAATTGGATATGTCAAAGGAAAGTTGAGAATTTCGGACTGTTTTATAATTAAAAGCTGATTTTACATTTCTCATGATGTGAGAGAACTTTGCTTGTAATTCATCCAAAGAATCTTGAACTATTTGATCATCTTTTGGAAAAAATATGATTTCAACATCTAAATAAAAAAATCAAGTTTTTAATGTTTTTTAAATCTGTATTTTAGTTTACCATCAAAACTTGATGTTCTTCGTGATGATTCCTTAGAGACAACATTCCTCTCCATAGCAACTTTAATATCTTGAGCTAGTTTGTTCTGATTTCTACTAGTCAGTGCATTAATGACATCTCTCCATGTTGCTTTAGGATTGACTGACAACCATTTTGAGTACAGTGCTGACTTTTGTTCATCAATTTTGACATTTTCTGCTTCAATCTTTAAAATGTCAGAATAAGTAATTCCTGGTAAACAACGACCAAATGGTTTCCACTCAACAAGTGGTTCAAGCCATTGAGTTAGTAATGAAATATCAGGTTGATCATCAATCATAGGACCAGGATTGAGTTCAACATCTCCTGATAAGAGGAGAAGCATACATAGACAAACAATCAAATAGAGATCATTGTAAATCAGGTTAGAACTGCTGCCTCCAGGTAAGGTTACTGACTGGAGGTAATTTGTATCAGTAACACTAACACCAGTAGCACATTGTACTTGGTAGCCGTTATTTAATAATAAAATACCAGTAAATATACAAGTACAAAGTTGCAATTGTTGTTTCCCTGTTGGAGGAATCATCAAGATGTGTCTTAATAAAGAGAGAGAGAAAAAGAGAAGGAATAAAGCAAGAGACAGAGCTGCTAATAGTTTAGATGTCTTCTCTCCTGATGTAGTACTGCCTGACTTGCTGTCTACTGCAGCTTTGAATGAGTGAGAGTGGCGGCCATTAGCTGGTCTACTGGAAGCAGCTTGACAGTAGTTCCACAGTCCAATACTTGCTCTCCATTGAGAAAAATCAATCATTATTTTTGTAACTTTTAGCATTACTTTTATATTGGCATGAAAGTATCTAATATCCAGTCACTTATATCATAAAGTGCAAGCACAGCAGATAACTGCATACTTTATGGTTGCCCTAGTGATATAATTGATCTAGCCTACTACAGTACAGTTATTAATGTAATATTAGATTTTGACAGACTTCTTTACCAATGCTCATTTCTATTTCTGTAGAAGTGAGAGCTAAGTTATCTAGATCAGTATCCATGTCTATATCTATTTATGT